CGGAAGAAAAGCGCCAGGGCTGACGCGATTTTCGCAGCCGGCGCAGCCGCGCCCCAGCGCGCGACAGACGCGGCCCGCGCCGGCGGAATTCCGCAAGCCAGGCGCAGCCGCGCCGACGCCCGCGACTAACCTCGCTCGGGCCAACGCGCGTTCCATCAGAAGATGCGAAAACGAACGCCCTCGCAAAAACAATGAACTTTGGAACGAAATCAAGATCACCGAGCGCTTCACGCGCAAACAATATTTATGCTACCATCCGGGCGCCCCCGAAAGAAGTATACATTTCGAGTGCTAAACTGTGGCAAGGTACTATTGCACCCAATATTATATTATTGAAATTTATGCTTCGACACAACACAACTCGGAAATACAGAACAATTGTATTCTCGGGAATTGAATGGCGAAAACAGAATGATCCACTCGCACCTGGACTTCGACGCTGCGGTGTATTAATAGTAGGGCACCATTAAACATGCTAAACTGAAAAGCTGAATGGTCGAAGCAAAATGCCCCCATGCGTTTTCAAGACCAGATTACAATGGCAACTCCAGCACTCCTGAGAAGTTTGACTCTGGGGAGATCATGCAGACATGCAAATCTTCAAATTAGGGCTTTGACGCTTACCGCTCGAAGAACACGCATGGCAGCCTGGAACCAGTGTTCATTTCGACTACTGAACTGCGATTGACCATTGAACTGCGAGTTCTACGTGGCTTCTGGAATCCAGAGCTAACGATAACTTCAGAACACCAGATGCCCCACTTGCACGTTGGATTCTGCGCCAGAAAAGATCGCGAGTCCAGACTCGCATAACATGTTCAACGTCGGAAAATAAATAATGGGCCGCTAAAACATGTAGCGTGCCAATTGTACAATTCGAATCAGAAATGTTGACTCCAATTCCCTGCAACCTGTCATTATCCATATATTCCACGTGCCCGTCGGGCAAATTATGTGATACCCCACTGGTTCCGCGTGAATCCCTGGCAATGATTCCGCCAAATGCCATGGGTTCCGCGCGCCCGTCGGAGCCTGCGCGCGAGGTTATGCGGATTCTGTCTGATTTTCTCAAAGACGATTTCGCGGGATTTCGTGGAATCCGCTTCCCCGCAGGATGGTTTCCGTGAGATTCTGCGCGGTTCCCTAGATTGGAAAACCAACGATTCCGTGCATTCCATCAGACTGGCCCCGCGGACTAGGCGGGCCTGCGCATCTGTCAGGCAGGACAGACGCCGCGGGATCCCGCGGGGCCCCGTGGCGCAGCTTCTGATAAATTGTGCGGATTCAGCGCGTCCGTCGGGGAGGAACCCAAGAGATTCCACGGATTCCGCGGGGGGGGCCAGCGTGAGTTCCGCGGGGCCCCGCTGGTTCCGCGCACCCGTCTGCAAGATGCCGCAAGCATCCGTCGGCGCCGCGCGGGCCCCGTGCAGCCCCGGCAAAACGCTTCGCGGGGCCCCGCTGATTCGCGCATCCGCTGGAAAGGTTCCGCGTGATTCCGCGCGGTTTTATGGGGCCTCCCCGTTTAAACCCAGCGCGTCCAATGCGTCTGCCTGACGGAATTTTTTAAATCGTTGGTTCCACGGGCGGGGGCCAGCGCCAATTCCGCGAGGTTCCGCTGGCTCCGTGCGTCCGCCGGCGCGATTCCGCGGGGTCGCGCGGATCCATCGCGGCCTCGCATGGATTTCGCGGGGCCCCGTGGGCCCCGCGCGCCCGTCGGACAGATTCTCGGGCCAAGCGAACGGGGGGGATAGCAAAGGGGGCGTTTGAGAACCAGCTCGCGCAGCTGATTTTCCCGGCGCCCCCCAGCGCCGGGAGGCGCCCATGCGTCGAGGAACGGGCCATTCGGTGGGGCCGAAACCAGCCGCGCGCAGCAGATTTCGCACCCCCCCCAATCACCCCCGTTCGTTCGGCCCGAGATTCCGCGGGAGCCCGCGGAATCCGTTTGGCGCCCCAGGCAAAGACCCCTTGGATTCCGCGCATCCGCTGGGAGGGGGCCCGCAGGATTTCGCAGATACTGTTGGTTGCCGTTGCAAAATTCAACGGCGTTCCGCGGGCTCCGCGCATCTGTCGGGGAAAATAACTGAAACCCCTCGTCGGGCTCCGCGGGGGGGCCCGCCGCAGATTCCGCGAGATTCCGCGCCGAAGGGTTCCGCGAGATTTCGCAAAATCGGCGCGATTCCCTTGCGACGACCCCGGCCCCGCGCGCCCGCCGAAAAAATTCGCGCGGTGCTGGCCCCCGTCGCGTGATCTCCGAAACGCTCTCACCGCGCGCCCGGCGGTTCCCCCGCGGGGTCGCCCGCCGGCCTCCGCCGGGGGCGCTCGCGGGGGCAGCGGCGGCGGCGGCGAGAACGCCTGCGTCGGGGCGGGGGGGGTTGACTGCGCGAAGAGACGGACTGCCCGCGGCGCCCGCAAGCGGGCGGCGCGAGGAGAATCGGCGCTCGCGCAGGCGCCGGGGTTTCTTAGGCAGCATGCTTCGCAGAAGCCCGCCCAGGCTCTCCAATTCTCGACGTCCCGTCGCGGGGTCGACGCCGCTGACCGGCTCGCCGCCTGCCCCCCAGGAGCCGCGCAAACATCCCCCCCCCAGGACGGGGCGCGGGCCCTCGAAACGAAGTCCCTTGGACGAGAAGCGCCCGGCGGGCCGGGCTTTCATGGGGGGCGCCTGCTTCTGCCCAGGAGCCCCCCTTTTATACGCGTCGGCCCCACGTGGCTTCCTGAACTGAGATGGTGACGATATTGAAGCGACAGTTCCGTTGCAAAAAACGATCATGCACCATCCGCGCGCGCCGAGCGAATAATCGAAATTTGGAATCTACGGAAGAACGAGTACCTGGCGAACTCCCTCGGTCCTCCACCCAAGCGGCTGCCACAACGCTGCGCCCACCTGCAATCGCATGCGGAGATTCATCTGGCGAGAAATTCGCTACCAAAAAAACAAGAGCCCGTCACCCGTGCGACTGTTGCATATAATAGAACGCATGGCCATCAGACCTGATAGCGCTCCAAACGAAACATGCACACCAAACGCAACAGCTCGAGTGTAACATTGCCACGGCAAACGGCAAAAACTATAATGGAACACGTTTGGGACTGCGAATTGCGGGGGACATTGTATGTCCAAAACAACAAAAGGAAACCACACACTGCGAACCGGAAATAAAAGAAAATTTGAAACGCACTATACCCATATCGTACATAACAACTGTAGGCGAGGTACCTATGGTTCATGTGTTATTCGCGCTTGCAACTTGCTGCCTAAACCGAACATGCGAAGTCTCACTGGTTTCATACCCTCTGCATGCTCCAATGCCCCTTGCACGCTCGATTTTGTTAATCGTTGTTCATGTGCCCGCTCCCCTCCATACTGGCTCCAAACTTTCCCATGCGCCCATTTCCCCCTATTTTTTACAAAAAAAAAAAAAAAAAAAAAAAAAAAACGTGCCCATACTTGTTTCAAGAGCTCTAAATTACTGCCAATGTTCGGGCAACCCGCACTCGTACTTCCGTTTTCCCTTGACGTCACACTTTTCCCCTAGTTCGAACGTCGTTAGCGGTTCGCCTGCCCGGGGGTCACAAGCATAAAAGGGCCCCTTTCAGGGGCTCTGAATGGCCTCATTTCTGCAGCCCTTGCTGCCCACCTATTCCTCGCCCGCCCAGCACGCGACGCCCAGTTCGAGTCGTGGCTCGGGTCCCCAGCGGCCGCCCCAGAGCGACTCGGGCACCCCCCCGAACACCCTCGCCGACGAGGGGCGTAGCGCGGCTGCGGGGAAGAGCACCCCGAGGCCGGAGAACCGCCGAGAGCCGACGGAAGCGTCCGACCCCCAATCGCCCAGCCATGGCCATGCAGGGGCCTGGCCTCCCCCATTCCGCCCAGGAGCGTGCGGACTCGCGATCAGAAGCCCATCGCAGACCCCGAAAAGTGCTATCATTCTTTTCGGGTTGACCCAAAATGGGGTCCAGCGACAAGGGGGGGGGTGCAATGGATTTCTTGGAATAGGTTTGTGGGGTGCAATACATTTGGGGCGTGCAATACATCTCGGGGCGCAGATGTATTGCTGCAGTTTCGCGCGCAGTACATTAATTGCAATACAATGCAATACCATTCTCCGGCGCAGTGCACTTGCAATGCAATTGTCCCAAATCTATTGCACCCCCCCTTCAGCTGGACCCCTTGTTGGGTCACCCCGAACCTTGGGGGCGAATCTTTTACTCCCATCGTCTGTCGCCAGCCCTTTGCTGGCGGAGGCGGCCCCCGTTGCCCGTTCCGTCCGCCGCCTTCCGCCGCCTAAACGCCGAGGGGCTCCTCCGATCCTCGAAGGCAGCGTCGCTCCCCCGAAGCTCGGGACCTCTCCCCGGCACAGCTTGCTTGCCTCGAGTCCTCGTCGGCGGTCCTCGGGGCCCGGCGGAGGCTCCGAAAGGTCGACGCCTGTGAGGATTGCTGCTGCTGCCCCCCCGCTGCCACACCATATGGGTAGAGTCGGGACCCCTGGAAGTCCCGAGCGATGCGAGGGCCACTGGAACTCCCGAGCGAGCGCAAGGTACAACATTGCCTATGAGTAGCAGGGGAACATACAGCGGCAAGATCATACACTTTCGGAGGTCCGCGCGGAGTGCTTGCATCGGCGCTGGAAACCCAGGGGCGGCACCGGAGGCGCCGCCAGGCGGCGATGCATCGCCCCAGCTTCGATTTGATAGATCCGAGCGGGGTAAATGTTTACGCCGCTTACATATGGCTCTCCGAATGAGAGAGCCTCGCGAAACTTATCCGACCCTACCATTCGGTCGGGCATGTCCTCCTACACGCAGGTTGTGGAAGAGAAACCAAAACTACTACTCAAAAAAATGCGCGCCAAAACTGAGTCAATTAATCATCTAAAAAATCAGCCCCATTCAGCATGTTTTTTTGTGCTTATTTTTGAGCATGCCCGACTTGACCCTACCCTGAAGCCCGAGCCCCACCCCCTCTCTCCCCCCACCCCGGGGCGCGGCGCCGGGGGTCGCACCGTGCGCTCCCTCTCGAGCAGCCTCTTGCCGTCGGCGGCGAGGGCGGCGGCGTCGCCCTCCCCGCGGCGCCCTTCCGGTTCCCCTCCCCTTGGCCTCCCCCTCTCGTCCCCTCCGGGGCCTTCCCCCCTGGTCATCGGGCGTCCTTGCCCGCGCTCGGCGTTTCAACCCCCCCCCCACCCCCTGGCGTTTGGCCGGGGCGGCGGGGCTGGACAGGTGGTCCCCCCCTGGAGGCGCACAGCGAGCGCGAGAGGGTCGCCCCCACAACACAAACTGACAAAAGAATGGCGGCAGTGCCAGCGGCGTCGTCGACGGCGGCGTCGGCGCCCTCCCAGCGGGCGCTTCGTCGTCGCCGACGGCGGTGCTGGCAGCGTCATCGACGACGACGGCGTCGCCCTCCCAGCGCGCGCTTCGTCGTCGCCGACAAAGGTGCTGGAGGCGTCGTCGTCCTCGGCGGCGTCCTCACAAGGCGCTTCGTTTGTCGCCGACGGCGGTGCCACCGGCGTCGTCGACGGGGGCGCGCTTCATCGTCGCCGAAGGCTATGCTAGCGGCGTTGTCGTCGTCGTCGTCGGCGGCGCCCTCCCAGCGAGCGCTTCGCTATCGTCGACGGTAGTGGTGGTCGCGTCGTCGTCGGCGGCGGCGACGCCTGCCCAGCGCGCGCTTCGTCGTCGTCGACCGCGGTGCTGGCGCGATGTCGCCCTCCTAGCGCGTTTCGTCGTCGTCGTCGTCGCTGTCGTCGACGGCGTCGACGGCGGTGCTGGCGTTTTCGTCGTCGTCGGCGGCGGCGCCCCAAGGGCCGAAACGGTGACGCTTGACGTCGACGTCCCCAACGGTCGTTCGGCGTTCGATCGCCCTCTGGTGCTGCTGCCTCCCGCTTCGCCTCTCCCCCCGCCCTTCCAGCTGCTGCACTCCACATAAGATGGTTGCGCAAACGGTTTTGTCCCGCTCGCCTGCTGGACCAGCCAGGGTGGTCAGAATGGAATGCCCAACCAACGCCAAAGGGGGGAGGTGTATGACGCGTGCATGGTGATATGATGTTGTGTGAGGTCTATGATGATGCCCGCTGTAAAGCGTGCGTTTCCATCCCATGCCTCTACCCAGCGAATGCAAGGACGAGCCTGAGAGACCAGAGACATCGCGCCTTGTGCGAGCAGCCCCATACGTGCAAAAGCTTCCGAAACCCACCTTCCTGGAACAACTGGAAGCATGCTACACCGGACTCATTTCTATACTGCGCACTCTGCAATTCTCACTGTTGTTCTGAGGTCCGCAAGGAGCCGCACACGCACGCACATGCCGCACAGTCGCATGAACATGCACATGCAAACCTGCGAAAGTCTGAGCAACATGGCCGCACATGTTCGCACATGACACACAGTCCGATGCTCAGTCGGATGCACAGCCTGGACAAACTCCATGAGTATAAACGCGCATGCCCGCGCATGCCGCAGAGTCGACGGTTCGGATGTGCTACAGAGAATTAAATAGGGAGGGGCAGGATAGATGAAAGAGGAATGAGGGGAGGAGCAAGGAACACGAGGGAAACGGATGTGGCGGGAATTGCAGCGACAACACCATACCCACAGCAGGGGACGTGCCAGGCGACAGCAACAATCGAACAAAGGGATGTGGCCAGCGCTCGGATAATGCATCACGCGGGGATGTCCCAGGCGAACGTGGCGTAATGATCTCCTAAGTCTGGGGTGTCATATGATACTCTGTCGTGCAATGGTATTTGTCCCCAGCCATCCTGTAGTTTTGGGCACTCGTTTTGGAAGGACAGCGCCGCGTGTCACTCACCTCGTCACCTCCCTACCCCGCCTGCCTCCTGCCTTTACCGCGTAGCCATTTCGGGCATACCCCTCTACCGTGTCGTGCCCCACGGAGGGTCCATCGAAAGCCCCAGTGGCAGGGTTCGCAGGGCGGCGCCGCACAAACGTCGGCACACCCCTCGCACGCATCGTGGCCCCAAGGTGAGCTCCACCGGGGGCCCGCTGGCAGGGCTTGGGGGGTGGCGCCGCACCCCTCACATGTCTCGTGGTCCCACAGGGAACTCCACCGAAGGCCCCGAGTGGCAGGGTTCGCATGGCGGCGCAGCCCCGTTTCGGCACACCCTTCACACGTCTCGAGGCGCCATGGGGAGCTCCAGGGAAGGCCCCAGAGGCAAAACTCGCATGTCGGCGTCGCCCCCGATTCGACACGATGCGTCCAGTGGCCCCGCACGGAGCTTCACCGAAAGCCCCGGTGGCAGGGTTCGCACGGCGCCGCCGCCCCATTTCGGTACACCCGTCACAAGTCGCGCGGCCCCACATAGAGCTCCACTCGAGGCCCCTGTGGCAGAGTTCGCATGTCGGCGCCGCACCGCTTCGTGGCCCGATGGAAGGCCCAAGCGGCAGGATTTGCATGGTGGCGACGCGCCCATGTTGGCAGACCCTCACACGCTTCGTGGTGCAACAGAAAGCTCCACGGACGGGTTTGGTGGCAAGGCTCGCATGGCGGCGCCGCACCCATTTCGGGTCACCCCTATCATACGCTTCGGGGCCCCATGGTATGTGGTCTCCACCGAAGGCCCCGGGTGGCAGGGTTCACATGGCGGCGCAGCCCCGTCTCAGTACTCTCCCGGCACGCCTCATGGCCCCACAGGGAGCTCCAGCGAAGGCCCCAGCAGTCCGCGTAGAATTGGGCGTCCCAGAACTAAGTGGACCGATTCAATCGACCATTTCTTCTGGAATCGCTTCGATACCAATTTGGAGCGGATTTTGCGCAACACTCCCGGCAAGCTGGAAAAGGATTTTCGATGTGAGTACTTGTCATACCTGCGAGACCGTGGGTAGCAATCCGCGAGGGGTCGTGCTCCTTATTTGCAGTTTCCCGCTGCATGTGCTCTTCTTTACGCATGCATCACGCCGTCCGCGCAAGCGGGACGAGACGTCCATAGGGCGCTCGATCGGACTTCTGCTCCTGCTTCTGCGGGGGGCCCATGGTGGCGCCGCCCTGCTTCGGCACCCCCCCGCACACCGCATCTCGCGGCCCCACAGGGAGCGCCACGCCCCACCGGCAGGGCCCGCACGGCGGCACAGCCACTTTCCTGGCGCACTCCTCGCACTTCGTGGTGGCCTCATCGGGAGCTCCAGCAACGGCGCCAGTGCCAGCCTCCGCACGGCGGCCCCGCGCCAGATTGACACACGCCTCACGAGCATGTTGGCCCCATGCCATGGAGGGCTCCCCTTCCTTCATCACACCTGTCTTGCGGTACTCGCGCCTGCATCTGGTTAGGTCCTTCGCCAGAGTCTCCTGGTGGAAACAAACGACTCGCCTGTGTCACAACGACCCGCACGTCTCACCGACTCGCCCGTCTCCAAACGGCCCACCCAACTCTCAACTACGAACCAATCTCTTACTTGCCTGCCTCGTTACGACGTGCAACGAGGGATGACCGTTACGTCTGGCGATGGCGCTGCAAGCCCAGCTCTCGTGTCATGGCAGAGGGAGGCGGACGGAGGCGACAAACTCTGGTAAGGCAGAGATCGGAGGGGGGCCACCTGAGTAGCGGCGGCTCTCAGGGGCGCAGATAGTCTGCCTCCGCACCCCTACCGAGGCCCATCCTGAACAGTCTCGCCAGCCGTGGTGACGAGACACCTCCAGGAGGCCCAGAGCCGACGAGAACTGCCAGCGAGACCCAGAGTCGACGTGTTGTCTAAGCAATGGTTTGTTTGTTGTGCGAAGTGCGTTGCTGCGAAGGTTGTGTTGTTGTGCACCACTTTGTTTTGTTGTTGTTGTTGACGCAGAGTGTTTTACGCAATTTGTTTGTACAGTGTTTTTTTACGCGATGTAGTTGTTACGAAGAGAGTTGTGTCACGCAGTGTCTCGTTTACGCAGTGATTGCTTGAATGCAGTGCGTCTTACGCAGTGATGTCTATGCAATTCAGCTGTTACGCATGATGTGTCACGCAAGGTGTTCTACGTAGTGTTTTCTACGCAGTGCGCGTGACACGACAAGTGGTGGCACGCAGAGTTGTCGCACGCAGTGCTATGAACGCAGTGGTATTTTACGCAGTGCTTTTGACGTAGTGTTTTCTATGCAGTGCTTCCTGCGTGGTGTTTTACGCCCTGCGTTTTGGCAAGCGGCTTTCAATCTTGGTTCTTGGAGGCGCTCACTAAACCACTGCGTAGAAACCATTGTATAGAAAACACTGCGGAAAAAAATTCGGCGTTTCGGGCCGACTTTCGGGTTTCGATTTTCTAGCTTCGGATTTCCGGTGTTCGGTTTCCGCGTTTCGGGCTGGCTTTCGCATTTCGGTTTTCTGGCTTCGGATTCCCGGCTTGGGGGGGTCCGCGTTTCGGGCTGGCTTTTGGATGTTGGTTTTCTGGCTTCGAATTTCGAGTTTTGGGGGTTCCGCGTTTCGGGCTGGCTTTCGGGTTTCGATGTTCTGTTTCCGATTTGTTTGGTTCCGCGTTTCGGGCCGGCTTTCGGGACTCGGCTTTCTGACTTCGGGTATTTGATTCACTTGGTTCCGCGTTTCAGACTGGCTTTCGGGTTCGATTGTCTGGGACGAGCTGGCTTCGGGTTTCGGTTTGCGGGCCTCGCATTTCGATTTTCAGCTTTGCAACGCCTGGCGCAGCGCCAAATAAAGCGCCCAGCACAGCGTCAATCTACAGCGCCTACGTAGAAAACACGACGTAGAAAACACCACGTAGACATCATCACGAAGGAATCACTGCGTACAAGAAGAACTGCGTAGTTCTTCAACATAAGATTAAGATGCCGATGGCACGATAAAGAGAACCATTGTTGTGCCGCAGCTGTGTTGGAGCAGGTGGCGCCCATCGCGCCCTAGGCCCCCTCTTTGCGAGGGCTCGGTGGTAGTTCCAGCGTGGCCTGCCAACAGCCAGGGACCAGCAGAGGTTGAGAAAACGAGATTGCCCATCATTGCGGCTAGGGGCTAGGGATAATGGGGAAGACAAGCGGTATGAATACCGCTACTCCCCAGAACTCTCCCGAGGAGCGTTCTGACCAGGGTCTCGTGGCGAATCCAGCGGTGGCGACGACGGCCGCCCAGGAGGCCCCAAACAGAGGAAAACGCGGGAAGGATATCAGCATGGGTGCCATCTGATTTGCGTCGGGCAGGTCCTTCGACAGGAAGAACACTCAAAAAAATTAGCCGTGCCCGACCTGAGGATGGGAGTCGGGGCAGGTTAGAAAAATATTAAAAAAAACATATAAACACAAGCTTTTGGCGCTCCGCGCGGATTTCTTGGATTCGCGCTGGACCCCCCGAGCGCGCCAGGGGCCCAGACGCAGACCCAAGGAGCCCGCACTGAGCGCCAACAGTTCATGTTGATATCGTGTCGTCTTCTTCGACAGGTGCTGGCCGCCACCCCGCGGCGCGCCAGCGTGACGCAGCCGCCGTCGATGACCAGGGAGGGGTCGGCCTCGCGAGGGCCGGCCGGGCGCTCGCGACCCCCGTGCGAGGCTCGGGCGCGGTCGGTCGATGTCTGCTCGGCCTCTCGGACGCGGAGGAGGAGGAGGAGGAGGAGGAGGAGGAGGAGGGGGGAGGAGGAGGAGGAGGAGGAGGAGGGAGGAGGAGGAGGAGGAGGAGGAGGAGGAGGAGGGGGAGGAGGAGGAGGGGAGGGGGGAGAAGAGAGGGAGGAGGAGCGGGGGGGAGGAGGAGGAGGAGGAGGAGGAGGAGGAGGAGGAGGAGGAGGAGGAGGAGGAGGAGGAGGAGGGGGAGGAGGAGGAGGAGGAGGAGGAGGAGGAAAATCTGGTTTAGTGATGTGCACTGGGGGATGCCCCGCCCCGCCCCCTTCCGCTAACCAGACAGGCCGTCACCTGACGAAACACGGGAACATCCTCCCGATAAGGATAGGATTCTCCTCCCGCTCTGCTCCTCCGCGGCCGCCCTCTTGTGTTACATCTTTGAGGACCTCGTCTGTCCCATCGCGCCAACCAGGCGTGCCACATCCGTACCGAATCCGTGTCGAACGCGTCAGATCCGTGCCGATTCCACGTCGAATCCGCGTCGAGCACACGTCGAAGTGCAAGAAAAGACTGCCATCTCAGGACAGGGATGGCCCCGAAGGTGCAGAAGGAGCCCTCCTCTTCGGTACCCCCTGCCCTTGGCGTATCTGCGTGCCCGCATCCAGGGCGTGGAACCCGATTGCTGCCCGAACGCACTATGCGTCTTTCCTCGCCGCGAACAAAACATAATCACTTCTTGATGGGGCCATTTCCCACCACCACCATCACATGCAGGGGAGGGAAAGATGGAGGAGGAGGATGAGGAGGATGAGGAGGAGGACCTCCTCAGCCTCCCTTCTCCCCCGTCCTGCATATTGCAACGGTGGTGGAACATTTGCCTCGGGAGCGTAGTTGCCCCGGGAGCGTAGTTGCCCCGACATGCGGTTCGACACGGGCGTGCCGGGGCAGCTAAGCTCTGGAGGCTTGGCACGAAGGACTCGGGCCTGATGGGCTCCTCCGCCTCCCGATTGAAATTTGAAAAAAAGGCTGCGATCCGTACGGTCGCCGACGGTTCGCCACCTCGACCGTGATCTCTGCAAACGCAAAACGCATGTACTTTAGCTCGACCGTGGTAGTGATGCCTCGACAGTAACAGGCCCAAGTATTCTTGGGTATCCTTTTGGAATTCCACCGGATTTCGAAAGAATTCCAAAGACTCCTCTGGATTCTGAAAGTTTCCCCGGGGTTTCTCGGGGTTCCCCGGAATCCCCCACGATCCCCCAGGATCCTTTTGGACTCCGAAGGATCCCAAAAAATTCTCATGGATTCCTATGGAATGTGCAAGTCTCCTAGAAATTTCTCCTGGTGCCCCAAGATTCCGAATCATCCCACAATATTCCGCAATAATTCTTCAGGAATTCCGCAGGAACCAACAGAAATCCTTCAGAAATCCGCGAAACTCCGAAAGTAATCCGTAAGAAACCCACAAGACTCCATCAAGAACCCTTCATATATCCTTCGAACCTTCGGACATCCTCCAGGAATCCTTCAGGAGCCCGTCGGAATCCTTCAATAATCCTTCAATAATCCTTGTGAAAACCTGCAGGAATCCTTCAGGATACCATGAAGAATGCTTCAGGAGTTGTCTAGAATCCTTCACGAATCGTTAAGGAATCCTCCGGAAATCCTGCAGGAATCCTTCAGGAATCTTGCAGGAATCCTTCAGGCGTCCTTGAGGTTCCCTCAGGAATCCTCACGAAACCTTCAGGGATCCTTGGGGAATTCTTCAGGACTGCTCTAGACATCCTCACGAATCCTCGAGGATCCCGCAGGAACCCCGTAGGAACCTCAAGAATCCTTCAAGCCCTGGGAAGCTGAAGCAAGCTTCCCTGGTTCGAATTCGGCGCTCGCCTTGTAGGATTGCAACAGGAATCGCACACTTTTGCGATCAGTCCACTCTCCGAGGGCGCCATCAGCCCGAGGTGGTTCCTGCACGGCCCGAGGTGGCTGGGATGGGTCATGCTGCCGTTCATGCACGGGCCC